GCGCGTGTGTATGCGTGTGTTTGGTCATGGGCTGGACGGAACGATATGAAGGACACTCACAGAAACCTAAGGGTTCCCAAGGCGCCCAGAGCCTCGGGAATGGGTCCGCTCAGCCCTTGACCCTTCATATCTCTGCACAACCATGGCATGGCACGGCATGGCATGGCATGGATGCACACGGGGATAGCTCCTCCAACGGAAACGCTTGCAAGCGAGCGAGAGTGGACACACAACGCCCTTAAGAGAGCAGCACAGGCGACCGAGATGGGGAACGTGTGGAGCGTGGGAGTGTGCAGTGCAGGGGATACGAATGAGCGACCTGAAGAAGCTGAGTTGAGCGAAACAAGAGGGGTGCATGGCGTGTGCGTGGAGTAAGGACAGAGTTGGGCTGCTGGAAACAGGGAGACGGTCGACAAAGGCCGGCAGGCAGGGTGGACACTTCAACTCAGAACAGGGGAACGTGGTCGTCGAACAGGGGAACGTGGAGAGAAAGGGAAACCGAAAGATGCGAAGACGCACATCGAGACGACGTTGCCGGCGTCGTCGCACACGATACCGCTTCTGTTCCAATTCAGCTGCTCGAGCACGGGCGCTGCGCAGGAAGCATGGAGGGGGGAAGAACATCGGAGGAGGAAGGGAGGGAGTGGGGAGAGGGGGAGGAAAGCAGCAGCGTTTGGAACGGTGGGAGAGCGATGGTGACGAGTACGGAGGACCAGGAACGCCGACTCGCTCCTTGGAGAACGAGAAGGTCCAAGAGGCAGGACAGGGATGCAAGGACGCTTCGCATTTCTAGAAAAGGGACCACCAAAGGAATGCTCCGTCAGAATCTACCGAGAGAAACGTGAAACGGAACGGGTGGTTTCTAGTTTACAGACTTTGAGACGTAACGGAATTTGAGAACTAACTGACATTGGGTAGGGTTGGGGCAAGGCGATGGAGAGCGGGATGTTTCGCCTTGCGCAGTCGCGTGGAGGAGCAAGATGCCTAAAACAGCGAGCCGCAGAACCATAACTGTCCTTGGTCGGTCCATGGATTCTTTGCTAGAAAGTGCTGACAACAAGATTTGTGCGAAATTGCAGCCTGTTGAGATAGTGGCATTGGAAACCTAGCATTCTGCACTAAAATGTTTGCATGAGGCTTGCCTCGCGGAAATATGTACGGGGATATCCAGGACAAGAGTGAGACGTGAAAGGGGCGTTTTCAAGGCAGAACGTGTGTCAGCAAGATGGCAGTCTGGGACGCGTTACTCGAAGTGGATTTGTTTCGCTGTACGAACTTATCTTGAAACCGCTATCACGACGGTGCGTAGTGGGAAGAACACAGCGGTGGAAACGACCTGAGGTCGAGTCCGAAACGCGATGAACACGCCGGGCACTGTTCGATTTGACTGGTATGACTGCTTTCCACTCTGGCTGGCTGTTATCTCCACCCTGGTCAGCCGAGAAGGCGATGTCTCGCTGTTCTGGAGCTTCCCCGCTGGCCAGGTCATTGAAAGTCTAGGAAGGCAATGGTGTACACTAAGAGTAAGAATTGGTTGTTAGGTATGTGGTTGTTAAATTATCAAATCACAACAACCTCAAAATACACGTTTCCATTCTCCCCCATGCCTCCCCCACGGTTAAGATCCCACCTCCAGTGTGATTTCAGGGTCCGGAACCCTTTTCTCCCCCTTTCTTCCCCCCGTCCTCCCCTCCCTCCCTTTCCCTCCTTCCTCTCCCCTCTTCCCCTCCCCCCCTCCTTTGTTATTTGTACAGATGATTGAAAATATCCAATTTACAATCACTGCAAAACTTTTGGTCGCACCGTCGGGGATGCCACTTGTTAGTCTATGCTACGCTCTCAGCTATTGAGGAGGAAAGAAGAAAGAAAACCTCAGCAAACCACAAAGCAAAGAGGTTATGTGTGAGTAACAGAGACACATAAATATTTGCAAGGGCTGATATCGTTAATGAAAACTTTTTCAGGGTAATGATTCACAGGCTGTGAATCTCCACCAATACCGTACTCTTTATTAATAGGAGCAGAAAACCTTGTGCTATACCTAGCACAACCGTAAAAAGCTATTCAGACCTCATAAGCATCAATCACAACCGCGAGAATGAAAAACACTGCCGCCGATCATCTCCTGTCCACGCCATCAGCGCCTTCCTGCTCTTCCCTCACATCCACCACAGCATGGTCCCTCTCCCCTCCCAACTGCACCGCTCTGCACCGCTCCAACAGCACCTCCAACTCCCCTGCCACTTCAGCCATGGTGGGGCGTGTGTCCGGAGAAATGGCTGTGCAGCGCAGGGCAAGCAGCACTAGGTCCTGTGCTATGTATGAGGGGATGTGTAGCGACTCATCACACACCTCCATGAGCGTGTTGCTGTCCACCTTCTGGGATGCCTGCCAGGGTGTGGTTGGGCGGTAGGAAGGAATGTAGAAAGGAAGGAATTTTTCCTAATCGACTCAGAATTTGGTCCTGTGCTGTGTCCGTGGGAATGTGTAGAGACGCTTCACACACCTCCATGAGTGCATTACTGTCCACCTTCTGGGATGCCTGCCAGGGTGTGGTTGGCTGGTAGGAAGGTGGAAGGGGGGGACAGTGGGGTAGAGTGAGGAGGAGGGGGTTGGGAGGGAGGTGGGTTGCTCACTGTGGTGGCTGTGAGCAAGATTGTTGTCGTTTTTCTTGGTGGTGGCTGTGGTGGCGGTGGCGGCGGCGGCGGCGGCGGCGGCGGCGCGGTTGTCGCCGCCGTCGCCGTCGTCCACTGGGGCTGACGCAGAGCAGGGGGCAACAACCACGCATTCCGAAGGGCGCACAGGTGGTACGCACGTTGAACTGGGACCACTTGGAAGCATGCATTGTGAAAAGAAGCGCAGGCACTCACACACACAGCACAATTGCACATAGCACAGTTGCACACAGCACAAGACTCACCCACTGAGGAAGAGGTATAAGCCTCTCCCCATCCCGGAAGAAGCACTTGTGCCCTGACACCACCTCCAGAATCACCACCCCGAAACTGCACCACAGGAAAGCCGGAGGGAAACAGGCGCACACGAGAAACCCAACAAAAGAGGACGGAGGGAAACAAACCACGGGCTTTTGGCAAAGGCACAGCAGCACAGGCTGCAGACGCATCATGAATCCCATCCCATGACAAAGTGACCGCAGCAAGGATTTAGGATCCGATGGCAAGGCGGACAAACCAGAACAGAACCACACGCATGGATGCTAAGAAAGATTCTTAACCTGGGCCCACCTGTACACATCAGCAGAGGGTGCAGCAGTGAGCGACTTGGCATAGGCAGGGTCCATGTAGCCTGGTGACCCCACTGGCCTATCCCTGTCCACCGTGCCTTGCACCGCTGACTTGATGAACCCGTAGTCCACTAACAGGCCCTGTGGGGCAGGTGTGTGGGGCGACATGAAAAGATCCTTTTGAGTCGACTCAAAAGCCTACTGGCCTACTATCCCTGTCCACTGTGCCCGGCACGGCTGACTTGCGGAATCCATAGTCCACTAACACGCCCTGTGGGGCAGGTGTGTGGGGCGACATGAAAAGATCCTTTTGAGTCGACTCAAAAGCCTACTGGCCTACTATCCCTGTCCACTGTGCCCGGCACGGCTGACTTGCGGAATCCATAGTCCACTAACACGCCCTGTGGGGCAGGTGTGTGGGGCGACATGAAAAGATCCTTTTGAGTCGACTCAAAAGCCTACTGGCCTACTATCCCTGTCCACTGTGCCCGGCACGGCTGACTTGCGGAATCCATAGTCCACTAACACGCCCTGTGGGGCAGGTGTGTGGGGCGACATGAAAAGATCCTTTTGTGTGAGAGGTGTGAGAGAATACTGGCCTATCCCTGTCCACAGTGCCCTGCACAGCTGACTTGATGAAAGAAAGCCTACTGGGTTAGCGTTGCCAGGCGCCTCCTACTCGAGAGAAAGAGAAAGAGCACGGCTGGTTGAAGTATGGGGAGGAACACGCGAGTGTGGGAGGGCGGAAGGGTGGTAGGGAGGGAGGCCGGGAGGGAGGGTGGGAGGGTGGGAGGAACGGAGGGATGTGGAAAAGGAGGGAGGGAGGGAGGGAGGGAGGGAGGGAGGGAGGGAGGGAGGGAGGGAGGGAGGGAGGGAGGGAGGGGGGACAGATGGGAGGGCGGGGCGCGCATACCTGCAGGTGTTGGTCGAGGAGGACGTTGGAGGGTTTGACATCGCGGTGCACAATCCCATTCGCATGCAGACACTCCAGCCCCCTCGCCACGCCCGCCAGAATGCCCACCCTCTCGCCCACGCTCAGGGGCACGTGGCCCTCCTCGCTGCTGCTGCTGCCTGCAGGCCGAGAGAGAGAGACAAAGGAGTTATGGAGGGAAGGAGAGGGGTGGTGAAGGTGGGAGGGAAGAGGGATTACGCAAGCAACTATGGCTACAGCACCCATTTCAACCCAGCCCAACCCATCGTACCCATGTGATGCCATCTGTCCTCCATGCATGCAGTACCAACTCAAGCCTGGCTGATCTCCCCCACCTGGGGTGCTGCTCTCAAGTTTTTCTGCCCACCCACCTGGCCTGAGGCGTTTCTCGAGGTCGCCGTGGGGGAAGAGAGGGTAGACAGTAACCTGCTCCATCTGCAGCGCGCTGGGCGTCATTTCCATGCAGAACCCCACCAGCCGCACCACGTTGGGGTGCCTCACCGCCCCCATTCGCTCCACCTGCCATGCCATGCCGTGCCATGCCGTGCCATGCCGTGCCATGGCATAACAATCAAGGAGGAGAGCAGCAAGAAAGTAGAGCAGAAGGACAGCAAGGATGAAGAGCACAAAAATATAGCAACTGGCACGCCAAGGGCTGCGCCAACAGGCGTCATCAACGGCCGTACATACCGACTGTCTGAACGTGTTGGAGAGCACGCGAGCGCGGCACACAGCTATGACCTTGATGCGCCTCAACAACATATATACATTCAACCGGCACACCAAGGGCTTGCATCAACAGGTGTTGTCAACAGGCGTCCTTACCGACTGCCTGAACGTGTTGGAGAGCACGCGAGCGCGGCATACAGCCCAGGGCACAGCAGGGTTGCTGGGGTCAAACCCACGGTACACATCAAACGAGCCTCGCGTGATCATGCGACCGCTTCTCGCCCAATTGTCCGTTGCCACTTTCACCTCGCCCATGGTGAGCTCTCGAATCGGCCTTTCTGGTGATGCGTGTGCTGCTGCCGCTGCTGCTGCTGCTGCTGCTGCTGCTCCGGCTGCTGCTGCTGCGGCGGCGCCTGCTGCGGAGGTTACTGGGGAGATTGCTGTTGAGGGGAGTGCAGGGGACGGTGTGTGGGAAGAATTAGGAGAAGGGACAGGTGAGGGGGGGACAGATGAGGGGTGGTGCAATGGGGGATTCGAGAGGGAATGAATAACGAGTGTGGTTGATGTGATAGGATTGGTTCAATAAGTGAACATGGAGGTGTGGGGAATCAAGTGTGGAGTGAAGGGATGTTGTGTTGGGCAATCTGGGTGGATGGATGTGTCTGGAAGGAGGTGATGGGCCTCAGGAGAGGTTGATAATGCATCACTTGCTGCACATGCACATGCACATGCACATGCACATGCACATGCACATGCGTACATACCTCATGCAACACAGCACAGCACACAAAACACAACGTACCAGGAAGCGCATTCTGCTTGGCTCCTCTCTTCTTGCTCCTGTGCACCAGCAGCAGCACCAGCAGCACCAGAGCCACCACCAAGCACGCGCACGCAGCAGCCAGCCCCACAATCGCACCCGTAGACAACCCACTGCTGCTCCCACCACTCCCACCACTGCTGCTGCTGCTGTTGCTGTTGCTGGTGCCACTGCTGCTACCATCCAGTTCACCAGGGCCCGTGACAGGAGGAACGGGCGGGGGGGCGCTGCCTGGAGGGAGGTCGGAGGGCGGGGCAGGCACAGTGGGAGGGGAAGATGGAGGAGCAGGAGGAGGAGTGGGTTGTGGCTGGCCCGGCGAAGGGGAGGGCGGTTGCGGGGTGGGTGGTCCTTGGGAGCCAGGTGATTCATCGCTTGCAGGTGCGGATGGTTCAGCAGCGCTGGCAGGTGCAGGTGAGTCGCTGCTTGCAGGCGCAGGTGACCCGTCGCTTGCAGGCGCGGGTGATGACCCGTCGATGGGAGGAGGTATGGGTGGGGCACTGGGCGGTGATGAGCTGGAGGGGGCTGGTGGTATGATGGAAGGGGGTGCGGCGAAGGGAGGGGATGTTGAAGGAGGGGATGTTATGGGCGGAGGCGTGGAGGGAGGAGTAGGAGGAATAGGAGGAGGAAGAGGAGGAGGAATGGGAGATGGGAAAGGATTGGGAGATGGGTTGAAGGAATCGGTTAAACGGTCTGGAGGTGGGGGAGGGCATGAGGGGAGCAGATGGGAGGGGGTTGAGTGAGGTGAGGAGAGATGAGTGGAGGTGAGGTGAGGTGAGGTCAGGTGATGTGAGGTGAGGTGGGTTGCAAGTGAGGTGAAATTGTGGTGCATGCTCGTGAATGTGCTCATTCCTTGATGGTTGGGCGAAGAGAGGCGCGAGGGACACGGGTAGAAGCGGCTCCAGAGGTGTAGGAAGGAAGACTTGATGTGCATGGGGGTGCGCATGCATGGCAGTGTGTCCTGCCCCTCCCCTCAGAGCGCAGTGCAGTGCGTGCATGCAATGTGCAATGCATGATGTGCGATGTGCGATGTCGCATGTGAGATGCTGCATCTGGGATGTTGCATATGAGGTGTCGCTTGTGAGATGTTGCATGTGAGGTGCGTGCGTGCGGAATGTGGCGTATGTGTATGTGTGTGTGGGCACACAAGCGGCGCAGAGGACGGACCAACAAAGCAGGAGGTGCAGAAGGGGGAGCACTGAAGGTACATGTCACTCCAGCAGTGCACTGAGCACCCGCTGAAGCTCCCAGGGCAATCCATGTCCGCTGCCCTGCACGCACACCATGCATGCACGCACACCATGCATGCACGCACACCATGCATGCACGCACACCATGCATGCACGCACACCACACATGCACGCACACCACACATGCACGCACACCATGCATGCAGCCAGGAGACACAGAGCAAAATCTAGGTTACTAATGGGAGAGAATGGTGGGCCTGTGCAGTTTATGACAGGGTGCATGCATGGTCGAGGAGCTAGAGTCAAGGAGTCACCTTTTGAGACGTCTCAAAAGGGTGTTGACGTCTCTATTCGAGGAGCTAGACTCCAGGCACTGCTGTCGTTTCGAGCAAAAACTTGCTACTTGACCATGACAGAGTAAGGTTCAGGTTGGGGATGAGAGAGAAAGAGAGCTTGGAAAATTAAAGGGGTTCAAGGGGTTTAAACCGCAGCAAGCATGCTGTGCATATCCCCGAGAATTCTCAAGCAAGTGACTCCGATGTTGGGTGTACGAAAATTCTGAACCTTTTGAGGATTCTTAAAAAGGGATCCGGTCACAACAAGGTGAGTGCTGTGCTGCGTCGGGTAAGCAAGCAGGCAGGCAGGCAGGCAGGCGGGCGGGCGGGCGGGCGGATGGGCGGGTGGGCGGGCGGGCGGGCAGGCAGGCAGGCAGGCAGGCAGGCAGGCATGCAGGCAGGCAGGCGGGAGAGTGGGTGGCTCACAGGTGGAGTTGCGTGAGGGATGTCATGCGGGAGATGCCTGGCACTGGCCCTGTCAACTGCGTCTCCGCCAGGCCTCTGCCGGCCGTGCATGGGCGGAGCGGTGGGAGGGGAGGATACGGGAGAGAGAGGAAGGGAAAGAGAAAGGGAGAGAGGGAGGGAAAGAGGGAGGGAGAGAGGTGGGTACTGGGTCTGGGCTGGGTTGACGGAGAGGTGTGGTTTGACTTGGATTAGACGGTGCTGTTTGCCCTGGTTATACAGGCAGTTGACGAGAGTGGAGTGAGGGGGTTAGGGGAATGAGGGGAATGATGGAAGTGAGGGGAGTGAGGGGAGTGTGAAAAGCAGAGTACATGTGAGGGCGGTGAGCACTGACAATGCGTTGAGGCCAGTGAGAGCGCTGAATGCATCAGGTAGTTGCCCTGTGATGTAGTTGAATCCCAGCCTCCTGCACCGCATGGCATGACATGGCATGGCATGGCATGGCATGACATGGCATGGCATGGCATGGCATGGCATGGCATGGCACAGCATGGCATGGCATGGCATGGCATGAGGATGAGATAACATGGCATGGATAGGCATTCCAAGAAATGGCATCATGACATGTGATAGCAACCTCGTATAATGAAGTATGATGAGCGCATGATGCGATGAGGGTTGCAAGGCAGTCAGAGAGCCTGCTGCCAGCAAGTTGAGTTGTAAGCGGTGGAGCATACATTGAGTGTTGTCTATACGTGCTAGAAAGACGACGCTAACCCATGCACCCACCACTCCCCACATGCATCCACCACGCTCTCCCCCACACCCCCGCTACTCCCCCCCCCCCCCCCCATGCGTCCGCCACACCCTCCCCATCCCATGCACCCACCAATCCCCCCCATGCATCCGCCACTCCCCACGCGCATCCACCACACCCCTTTCGTCCCATGCATCCACCACACCCCTTTCGTCCCATGCATCCACCACACCCCTTTCGTCCCATGCATCCACCACACCCCTTTCGTCCCATGCATCCACCACACCCCTTTCGTCCCATGCATCCACCACACCCCACGTGCATCCACCACACCCCCCAGGCACGCAGCGACTGACAGGGTGCGCAGGTTGGTGAGAGCGCCTAGCTCTGATGGCACGCTGCCTGTGAACCCGTTCCTGTCCAGCCGCCTGGCACCGCACCGCGTGATGGGCAGTGGGATGAGGGAGAGGAATGGGGAAAGGGAGTGGGAGGAGAGAGAGCAGGGGGAGAGATGGTTGGCCCGTGGGGCAATGGGCGGCTGATGCATTCTTCTCAGTGCTGCTTTGACCGGTTTATTGCATCGATGCTCATCGCTGCGATTTGAGGAAGAGATGAGGGGCACGGGTTCGGCTCTGACATTGGTGGTGTGAAAGACCAATGCTGGAATTCAGCATGTTGGAGAATCATGATGATGAGAGAGGTGGGATAGGCAGCGAAGGACAGGATAGGGCAAGCAAGGCATGGCAGGGTATGGCAAGGCAAGGCAGGGCAGGGCAGGGCAGGGCAAGGCAGGGCAGGGCAGGGCAGGGCAAGGCAGGGCAGGGCATGGCATGGCGCAGTGGGTAATTACAGAGCAGTGAGTGCCGTCAAGTTGCCAATCCATGCAGGAATGGTTCCAGAGAGGGAGTTGCGCCCCAGGCTCCTGCAATGGTGCCGTAGGGCAGGGCAGTGCAGGGGGTACGGTGCAGGGAGGGGGGTACGGTGCAGGGGGTACGGTGGGGGGGGGGGGGGGCACGGTGCAGGGGGCACGGTGTTGGGTAGGAGGTGCGGAGTTGAGGACTTAGCGGCAGCAGGTGAGACGTGTGAGAGAGCAGGAGGGCGGAGGGATGGGAGGAGAGGACTAGCAGAAGAGCAGCAGATGCCGATAGGAGAGGTGAAAGGACGGGCGAGAGGGAGGAACAGCAAAGGAAGAGACAGAAGCAATGACAGCAAAAGTCAGACAAACAAGATGGAGCGGTGTCTTCTGCATTGTGGACGAATGAGTGTTGGGAGGGGGAGAGAGGGGGAGTGACGGGGAGTGAAGGTAAGCGAGGGGGGGGGAGGGGAGGCAGTGGGACTAACAGGTCCTGCAAGCTGGTTAGAGTGCTCATGGTGTTTGGTAGCGATCCATCCAGCACTGTGTCTCCTAGGTCGCTGTGAGAAGAATTTGGGGCGGGGTGGGAGAGGGAACGAGTGGAGAGAGGAGAGGAGAGGGAAGGGAAGAGGAACGGGGAATGAAGGTTGGGTGGAGAAAAGGGAGGGCTGAGAGGGGTGGGAGGGGAGTAATAGGCGGTGAGGAAGTAGAGAAGGCATGAAGCATGGGCACACGCCACGTGTGCACGCAGATGCGCAGACGAATGCGATGCAAACACATAGACAGAGGAAGGGGACTTGCAATGCAAGCAGCAGCTTCTTTCCCCCACATCTCCTTTCCTACTCGCCTCTCTTCTATGTAACCCTCACAACACCATCCTCCTCTTCCATCTTCCCCCCCCACCCCCAACCCCCTTCCGCGCATCCATCTGCCACCCCAGTATTTCCCCGCGCAGTAACTCCCATCGTGCTGCTGCTCTGGGTGGCGTACAGGTGAGTGAGAGGGAGCACTCACAGCAGAGTGAGGCGCGAGAGGGCGCTGATGCTCTCCGGAATGGACGTGCTCAGATACGCTTGCTCCCAGTTGCTGCCGTGGTTCCCAGCGCCCAGGTAGGTGGGCGAGCAGGCGGGCGGGCGGGCGGGAGGGAGGGAGGGAGGGAGGGAGGGAGGGAGGGAGGGAGGGAGGGAGGGAGGGAGGGAGGGAGGGAGGGAGGGAGGGAGGGAGGGAGGGAGGGAGGGAGGGAGGGAGGGAGGGAGGGAGGGAGGGAGGAGGGAGGGAGGGAGGGAGGGAGGGAGGGAGGGAGGGAGGGAGGGAGGGAGGGAGGGAGGAGGGAGGGAGGGAGGGAGGAGGGAGGGAGGGAGGGAGGGAGGGAGGGAGGGAGGGAGGGAGGGAGGGAGGGAGGGAGGGAGGGAGGGAGGAAGGGAGGGAGGGAGGGAGGGAGGGAGGAAGGGAGGGTGGGAGGGAAAGAAGAGGTAAAAAGATGAGAGGGAGTAAGGAAGTAAAGAACAAATGGTGGGGAAGGAGGCGAAGGGAAGAAGGGGGTGAGTGGGGTAGCAAGTGAGGGGAAGGGATGTGGAGGGTGGTGCAGAGGCAGGGTGCCAGAACAAGTGACTGACCCATGACCCTGATGGGCTATTATCGGGCGTTGGGCGGTAACGGAAGCAGAACGAAGTGAGAAAAGTGAAGGAGGCGCGGGAAAAGGAGGCAGGAGGGAAGAGGGAATATTGAAGAACGAAGAGGGATGAGGGACGAGGGACGGGGGACGAGGGGGGGCGGAAGAGGGAAGAGCGGCACGAGAATGGCAGCAGAGGGCTGTGGAGACCCTAAGGACAGGCTGCAGTGTGAAAGGACAGGTTGTGGGTGGGAAGGGACTCCCTGGGAGGAAGCGCGGGCGTACAGGGATGTGACCATGCCGTCCTGGTCCACGAGTATTGGTGGCGGCGGGTACGCGTTCTGAGCCAGCTCGGTGAGGACGGCCTCTGGAGACACACATAGGGGCGGTGAGCAGGGACGAGGTGGATGTGTGAAGTGAAAGCGAGAGTGGAAGGACGAGAGCGAATGTGTGTGTGTGCGTGTGTGTGTGTGTGTGTGTGTGTGTGTGTGTGTGTGGTGTGTGTGTGTGTGTGTGTGTGTGGGTGTGTGTGTGTGTGTGTGTGTGTGCGTGCGTGTGTGTGTGTGTGTGTGTGTGTGTGCGTGCGTGCGTGCGTGCGTGCGTGCGTGTGTGTGAAGAAAGGTGAGAGGTGGTTGCTCGGGTGAGAAATTGGTATGGATGGGAGGGTGGAGTGCGGTGCAGTGCGGGGTAGTAGTACTGCGGCCGTGAGAGAACAAAAATTAACGGCGGAGTGAGATTGTAAGATTCTCAAACGTATGCTCTGAAGCATCAGGTACGGCAATGACGCAAGTGTTGCGCTGGGGGGGAAGACCTTGGGAAGGGTCCAAAACATCATATTGAGCGCGGCCGCCGCACATCACGCCGGCGAGGACGGCGAGGAGAAGCGCGACGTGACTGGCGGACTGTAGCGAAGCGCACATTCGCCGTGCCATGGCCGAATTTTGTGGCCGAATCGGCTGTTGCGGCCGGTACAGTTGCGGTAACCGAGGGTCCGGAGACTAAACACGGGATACTGTTCGCGCCTTTTGGGCGCCGCAAAAGCCAGGAAGTACAGTTGATTCGTATCAAGTCGAAGCGATAACGATAGCTTATCTTGCCTTCCGGAAGAGAAACGAAGTATACTACCAAAGGTGGGATCTTTAGAGGTTTCTCCGTACGAAAATGCACGACAGCCTGAGGGAAGAGGATACAGTTGCGAAGAGGGAGCTTGTGAGAGTTCTGTAAAGAGAGAGGCTACGAAGTGGAACGTGGACTTTGGCGGTGCGGTGTGGCTGTGCTGCTCTGCTTTGCGACGACGTTCGATGTGGATGGGAGAGTTCGAATCGAACACGAGGGGTGATGAATTTCGTTGACACAGGAAAGCACAGCAGGCGCGACACACAATTATTTGCGGGGAAGGGAAGCAGCGGGGGGAGGAAAGGGGTCGGGGAAAGGGGAAGGGTCGGGGGAGAGTCGGGAGGGGAGGGGGGAAGGTCGAGAGTGGCCAAGCGTGAAATTCTGCGTGCGAACGGGGGGATGGGAAGAAAGACGCTCCGCTTCCATCCATCCGTCAGGAGGCGCAGAAACCCCTGCATCGTGTGCGCGAACATCCGCGGGTACGGATGTGGGGGGCCCGTGTTGTAACATGCTCCGCACGGCATGGTGGTCATGCGGGAAACGGGGGATGCGATGCAGGGGGAGCTGCCTCGCTATTCCCCACGTGGCGGGTTCGGGGAAGGGTTGACCCCGTTTGACTGGGCTGGGGGATACACACGATGTCCGTTTGACTAACCCAAGGTTGCCTTGTGAAGGGGGCGCTTAAGTGATTCATGCATTTCGTGGAGGTTTCGTCAATTCGCGTCGGGCAAAAAGGGCTTATAGCAAAATTTTGTAACTCACCGTTGACTGTTTGACTTCGGTCTCTTCTGTTTCTGTGGTTCGTATTGGTTGACGTGCTTGTAACGTGGGTGCAACTGCCCGGGAAAAAACCTTCGTGTGCAAGGTTTCTGGAACGTGCGAGGCAATTTCGCGTGCAGGGGTTGGGCATCTTGTGTATACCGTATTCCTTCCTGCTCATTCGCCCCGCGTTGCGGTGGATTCTGAACGTTCTTTGCCTTTGCCGAGCTAGCAGCCTAGCACGGTAAATAAGACCTAAGTGTACTCGGATCCTCGTATTGAGAAAAAATTCATTTGCATGCAACAAAATATCCGGGTCAATGGACAAACATCACAAATAGAATGCTTGAATCAACATCTCCTCACTTCCTCCATCCACTACCAAGCGCCCTTGGCTTAGTTATGCTCATAGCATGGCTTTGAATAATCCCCTCCCCACTCACCTCACCTGCTCCCCACCCACCCTCCCCACTACCACTCCGCCCTACACCCCCATCAAACCTCCTAGGACTCCTACCCGTATACATACTCGCACTGCCAGTGCCACTCCCAGGACTAGCCCCTGCGCCCGCTCCTCCCCCTAGCCCTGTTAGCGCCCTAGCAGAAGGGCTGTTGCCAGTGGTGCTGCCACTGCCAATAGATCCAGCTGGAGGGCTGGCACCACTCGTGCGCAGCCCAGCATGCACAGGAATAGGAGCAGCTGGGGAGTACGTGCCCACAGCACCAGCACCACCAGCAGCACCAGCACCAGCACCAGCACCAGCACCAGCAGCGGCAGCGGCAGCAGCGCCAGCTGCGGCAGCAGCAGCAGCACTGGACATACTGCCAGTTGCGCTACCAGGACTCCCATATTTCCCAGGGCTTCCGTACTTCCCAGGACTGTTATATTTCCCACCAGGGCTGCTGTACTTGCCTGGACTGCCCCCCACAATGCCTCCCCCCCCACCGTACCCCACTCCGCCCGGGCTGCTGCTGCTGCTTGTGCCACTCACACACCCCCCCATGGGCACCATCCCTCCTGCTTTAAGTGCAGCCGATGCAATCATGCCGGCAACATCAGGAGCAGAGGGACTGGTGGAGCTCAGGCCAACGCCCACACCAATATACTGCCGCGGGCTCGCGGATAGGGGCCCGCGGGAGGCAGAGGAGGAGGCGGAGCGGTAGGGGTGCGGCGCCGAAGTGGGAGTGTGGGAGGAGTGGTACTGGTGGTGGTGCTGCTGTTGCTGTTGCTGCTGCAGGTGCTGCAGGTAGTGCGGGCTGTAGGTGTTGTGGGCGTGCGGGCTGGCGCGGGAGAAGGCGGCGGAGGGGGAGGAGGAGTGGGAGGAAGAGTGCGGCAGATGAGGTCCCACGTGCCACGTGGGGCTGTGGTCTCGCATGGAGCGCGAGGAGGAAAGCATGGTTGGCCGCCGTGCCACCCAGCCGTCTCGCTGTTGTGTAGGAGGGTAGACGGGGGGTTGGGGGGGGGGGGAGAGGATTTTTGAGTTGACTCAATCGACCCACGTGCCATGTGGGCTGTGGCTCGCATGGAGGGAGGAGAGGTAGTTGGCCTCCGCGCCATCCAGCCGTCTCGCTGTCATGGTGGAGGGTAGAGAGGGGAGGAGGGGCAGAAGGGTGGGTGATGTGAGGAATTGGGGGAAGAAGGGAGGTGGGGAGAGGAGAAGAGCGAATAAACGTAGCGATATGGAGACATGGTTAGGGTGGCGGGAGAAGAGAGGACTGGGCGTGGTGTTACGGTGAGGGGGCAATTATACACGAACCCGACACCACCCATCCCTGCACACCACTCACCCACCCCCACCGCACTGTACCACTCCGTCTCACCAGCGTGGGGTCCTCTGTCCCGAGCATGGCCACGACCTGCCGCATGCGAGGGCGCTTGAGGGCATTGCCGTCCACACACTTCACCCTAGTCCATCCAAGTCCTGGTCTGACCGCACCTCACCGCACGTCACTGCACCTCACCGCACCTCACCGTACCCATCCACGCACACCCCAACAGCATTCCTCCAACCACCCCCCCTCACCAGCGTGGGGTCCTCTGTCTCGAGCATGGCCACGACCTGGCGCATGCGCGGGCGCTTGAGAGCATTACCGTCCACACAGCGCAGCGCCACGCCCACCACGTACTCCACCTCGTCCGCCCCCGCCTGCCCCGCTATCCGCCCCTCCACTGCCTCTGCTAATCTGCCGTCTGCCGCCAGCCGCTTCACCCACCGCACTATGTCCACCTGGGGGGGGGAGGGGAAGGAGAGGGGAAAGAGGAGGGGGCGGGGTGTGGAAGCGGGTGGGGGAAAGGGGAGAGAGCGGATGAGGACACGAGTCGATGCTGTTTGAGGTCTTTGGGAATGCCCTCTGCTGCCAGCTGCTTCACCCACCCCATCCCACAGCAGCGCCACGCCCACCACGTACTCCACCTCGTCCGCCCCCGGCTGCCCCGCTATCCGCCCCTCCACTGCCTCTGCTAGTCTGCCGTCTGCCGCCAGCCGCTTCACCCACCGCACTATGTCCACCTGGGGGCGAAGAGGGGAGAAAGGGGGGAGGGAATGGGGTGGGGCATGGGGAGAGAGTGGGTAGGGGGGGGAATTGGTCTTCTATGAGGCATTTGGAAATGCCCTCTGCAGAATTGACGGGGGGAGGGGTTACGGGAGGGAGGGAGAAGGAAGGGGGGTGGAAGAGAGGAAGGGGAAGGGGAAGGGTTAGAGCAGGAGGGAGCGGGGCAGGGGTTTTGAGGTGCCTGAAATAGCGAGCGAGCGAGCAAGCAAGCGTGTGAGAACGAAGCACACAAGTGAGCATGCTGGGTCACCTGTTCGGGTGGGAGGTGTGTGTCGATGGGCTTGCGGCCTGCCACGAGCTCCAGCAGCAGCACTCCGAAGCTGTACACGTCACTGCGCTCCGTGAGCAGCCCCGTGTTTATGTACTCCGGCGCCACGTACCTGGTGGAGAGATGAGATGGGGAGGGGAGGTGAACGGGGAAGAGAAGGTGGGGGGTGGGGGGGTTGTTGAAGCACGTGAAGCATGGACCTCGCTCCGTGAGCAGCCCCGTGTTTATGTACTCCGGCGCCACGTACCTGGAAAGGGGGGTTGGTGAATGGGGAAGAGACGGTGGGGGTGCAGGGATGTTCTGTTCAGGTACGTCAAGCATGGACTTTAATCCAGGGGGAGAGAGAGATAGTGGGAAGGGAATTGTTGAAAAGCTGATCACAGCACGAAAGAGGATTTTTTGGCAACCAGTTGCAGTCTGTCTCTGCTTCCCCCTTTCCCCTTTCCTCCCCCCTCTATCCCCTCCCTCGCCCCCTCACCCGACGGTGCCGAGGAGGCGGGAGGGCGCGTGGGAGTGGAGACGGCCAGAGATGGCGGCGAGGGCGAAGTCAGCGAGCTTGGGGTTCCACTGCGCGTCCACCAGCACGTTCGATGCCTTCACGTCGCGATGCACCACCCGCACGTCCGCTCCCTCGTGCAGGTATGCTAGGCTGCACGTGCAGAAAGTGAAGGGCGTGGGAGGGATCGGTGGAGGGAAGGGGTGAGCTGAGAGTCCAGCAGCACGTTCAGTGCCTTCACGTCCCAGTGCACCACTCGCACGTCCGCTCCCTCGTGCAGGTATGCAAGACTGAACGGGCCGAGATGGCAGAGGGACGGGGGAAGGCAGCAGGGCGGAAGGGAGGGAAGGATGGGGGTGGAATGATGGGACGGGATGGGTGGGTTGGATTGAACCTCAGGGGCCATGACTGGCAGGGCACAGCACGTGTTCATGGCAGTATGGGATGGGATGGCCGATGCAATATATCATCCACGGCATCCCCGCGTGCGTGCGTGCGTGCATATACACCAACAAGTCCAGACTTCTCACCCGCGGGCGCATCCCAGGGCGATGTGGACGCGCAGCTTCCAATCCAGCGGCGCGCACGCGGCGGATTCACCCGCACCTCCACCACCATCACCATCAGAACCAGAGGGGCCACCAGCACCAGCAGCACCAGCAGCACCAGCACCGGCACCAGCAGCAGGAGCAGCAGGGGCGTGCAGCCAGGAATGCAGGGTGCCGTTGGGGACGAACTCAGAGACGAGCAGGCGCTCAGCGCCCTCGGCGCAGCACCCCAGCAGCGCCACTATGTTGGGATGCCTCGCCCTCGCCACTGCCTCCGCTTCAAACCGGAACTCCCTCTCTGACTGGTCCGGACTGGCCGGGGGAGAGGCGGGGGAGGGGCGGAGAAGGGGAAGGGGGAAGGGTGAGGGAGTGGTCTGGGACGCCTTGAACGGGAACTCCTGCTCTCACTGGCCCGGACTGGTCGGGGGAGTTGTGGGGGAGGGGGAGATGGATGGGGGGAAAGCGCTTTGATTGAGAGGTTTAGAGACTGGAGGGTGGAGCACATGCAAGGAGGCACGGAACGCTGGAGCACACGCACGCACACCCGCACACCCACATACGCACACACGCGCACTTCAAACCTACTTGCAGTTGGTGAGTCGCTTGACAGCCACCGTGGTGCCATCCGGCAGGCGTGCCTTGTACACCACGCCGTGCCTCCCCGCGCCCAGCAGGTTCCGCTGCCCCTGCCGCCCAAAGTCATTGGTGGCGAGAGCCAGCTCCGCCAACGAAAACACCTTCTCCGCCCCTCCCCTGCCGCTCCCACCGCTCTCGCTCTCCTCACTGCTCGCCTCCTCGTCTCCCTCCGTGTCCCCAGCCCCTCCAACCTTCTCTCGTCCTCCCCCTCCTCCTCGGGCTTTTCCTTCCCTGCCTCCTCCCACCAGCGCTGCTGCTGTTGCTGCTTCTGCTGCTGTTTCTCTGCCTTCTCCCCCTCCCCCTCTCACTCCTCCAGCGGCCCACGTCCTCCCACTGACCTCTGACACAGAGCGGCCCAGCTTCCCTCTCCTTCCCTCGATCACACTCCCATCGCTCTCACTCCAAGTGCTGCTCTCGTCCTCACCACTGCTCCACACCCCTCCTCCCACTCCTCCTCCTCCTCCTTTTTTCCCTCCTCCCTCCGCGCCGCTTTCACTATCCCCTTCAAGATCGGCGGCTCTTAAAGCCCGACCCGCGCCGCCATACGTGGGCAGACGGCTAGATGATGCCACAGCAACTGCTGCCCCTGCTGCCCCTGCTGCCCCTGCTGCCGCTGCTGCCCCTGTTTCTCCTGTCCCTGCCTCCCCTGCACCTTCTTCCATCGATGCCCCTCGCAACCCAGCCGCTGCTGCTGTGCCAGCAGCAGCACCGGCAGCAGCAGCAGCAGCAGCAGTGGCGGAATCAGGGAGGGCAGCAGGCGGGAGAAGCGAGGAGGGCGTGTGAGGGGAACCGGACTTGGGACTCCCAGAGAGATAGTAAGAGGGCGGGGTGAGTGGTTGCATCCCTGCCCCCCCTGGTGCTGCTGCTGTTGCTGCTGCCTGGGAGGCGAGGAGGGGGGAGCGGTGGTGAGCAAGGGAGCGGAGGGAGGGCAGGGGGACGACAGGGGGGATCACAATGGGGGGAAATGAGGTGGCGGAGGAGGGGAGCGGCTGGGGCTTGGGGGACGGGGTGTGGGAGGAAGAGGAGGATGGGATGGAGCGAGGCGACGTGCCCTGCAGTGCCGCAGAGGGAGCAGAGGCAGAAGGGGGAGCAGAGGGAGAGGAGGAGGTAGCAGCAGATGAATCAGCACGTGCCGGAACTCCATACTTTGGTGATACGGCAGCAGCTGAAGCAGCAGTAGATACAGGGGACGATGTGGGGATGGGCGGAGGAAGGGTGGGGGCGAGCAAGGGGGAAGAGGCAGTGAAGGGGATGGCAGGGGGCGGGAGAGGCGGCAGCAGCAGCAGCCCTGTCTCACTGTCCTTCTCCCCGCCATAATCCACTTCTGCTGCCTCCTCCTCAGACCTCGCATCTGCCTTTCCCGTTCCCATTCCTATTCCCGTTCCCGTTGCCACTCCCAGCCGGCTTTCCGCTTCGTCTCGGCCAGCATTCTCCAAACGCCCAACACCCCCAGTAGCGCCTCCGTCTTCATCCTCTCCTCCTTCATAACTCCTTCCACTCCCGTGCGACCACTTCCGCCCAACGCCCACGCCACCGCCACCGTTGCCACCGATGCCACCGCCTCCGCCACCGCCGCTGGTGCTGCTGGCGCTGTTGCCGCTGCTGCCGCTGCTGATGAGGGCGGCGCCACTGCTGGCAGTGCTGCCCGTGGTTGGGGTGCTGCTGCTTGCACCGGGAGTACCTGCAGTTGTAGCGGCAGATGTGGCAGCAGCTTTAGCAACTGCTGTAGCCGCAGCACCGGGTGTAGCAGGAGCAGGGTCTTCTGCATTAGGTGTAGCAAGCGCAGCAGCGTCAGGAGACCCTTTGCGGTCATCGCTAGCAGAAGCGCCAGCAGCAGCGCCAGTGGCAGCGCCAGCAACCAAACCAGCAGCAGCAGTAGAGGCAACTACAGCAGCAGCAGCAGCACCAGTAGCACCACCAGGAGCATCAGCCAAAGTGCTACCAGCGCCACTACCAGCAACTCCATCTGCAGCACCAGCACCTGCAGCGTCAGAAGAAGCATCAGCAGAAGCGTCAGCAGCTGCAACAACAGCAGCAGCCTCACCTGCTTCATTCCCCTCCATCCCTCGCCCTGACTTGCTTCCCTTCCCCTTCTCCCCCTCTCCCGCTCCTCTCCTCCCACTTCCGCGCCCGTCCCGCTTCCCCTTCTTCCCCTGATCCCCCCCCTCCCCCCCTGCAGCGGGCGCAGGGCGGCCCCCATCCGCCCCTCCCCGTGGCGGGGAAGGCGGAGGAGGGGGAGCGGACAAAACCGCGTGCTGAGGGGGGAGATACTTGGTAAAAGATCCCATTATCGGTAGCTCCCCCCTCTCCATCCTCCCCTCTTGCCCTTTCTCGTCCGCGTCATTTCCCCTCGCCCCCCCAGCACCCGCACCTGTGCCTCCTACTGCAGCAACGGCGGCAGTAGCAGAGGCGGAAGAGGGCGCGGAGGGGTGCTTGGGCTTGCGCAGACAGAGGAAGGCGAAGAGGAGGAGGGCTATGGCTAGCACTGCCACCGCTGCTATGACCCCCACCACAATTCCCACGCTTATGCCGCTCCCTCCACTGCTGCTGCTGCCGCTGCTGCTGCCGCTGCTGCTGCTGCTGCCAGTGGTGGTGGTGGTGTTGGGTGGTGGGATGGACGAGGAGTCCGAAACAGCAGAGGTGGAGGAGGTGGGAGAGGTGGAGGGCGAGGGGGATGAGGGGGAGGAGGAGGGTTCAGGAGGAGGGCGGGATGGGAGAGAGGGCAAGGGGGATGAGGGCGGGGTGGGGATAAGGGACGGGCTAGGCGGGGGCGAGGAAGGGGGAGAGGTTGGCGCAGGGGAGGGGGAGGTAGGCGGAGGGGAGACCGGGGGAGGGAGAGACGGGGGAACGTTTGTGGGAGGGGGAGCGCTTGGGGGGATTGTGGAGGGGGAGTGGAGGGGGAAGCCAGTGGCGGGGGAAGGGAAGGGGGAGCGGCAGAGGGCCCGGCAAGTGTCGGGGGGGGCGCGTCAGGTGGTGGTGTTAGTGCAACGCCGGGACATGGCTGCGCAGGAAGCGGAGGAGGGTGATGATAAGAGGGGGGAAGATGATGAGGATGAGGGTGATGACGATGAGGAGTCAGAGCCATGGAAGAGGGTGGGGGGTTGGGTGGGGTGAGGAGGTTAGAAGGCCATGGAAGAGCAAGGGACAGAGGGCAATGAAGGGACAGGAAGGGCGATGAGAGGGGCAATACAAGGGGCTGGAAGGTGCAAGGTAAACTGTCAACCAGAGATAACTCTCCCTATGCCTTCCCTACTCCCCCTTTCCCTCCCTCTCCCTCCCCCTCCCCATTCCCCTACCCTTCCCCCTCTCCCCCCACTCTCCCCACCATGACCATCCACGCACCGCCGTGCCGCACAGGGTGGGGTCGTTGGCAGTGAGGTTGAACACGGCTGCTCAAGTGCTTCTTGTTGCAGGCGCCTTCTCAAATTTCTCAAAAAACCCTTCCCCCACCACCAACGACCCGCCGACTCACCCACCCACCCACCCATCTATCCACCACGCACCGCCGTGCCGCACAGGGTGGGGTCGTTGGCAGTGAGGTTGAACACGGCGCCAGGCGCGCTCGCCATGGCCGCCAGCCCGGGCGGCAGCGGCCCCACCAGCTGGTTGCCGTCCACGCGCAGCCACGTCAGCCGGGACAGCGCTGACAGCGTGGACGGCAGCGCGCCGCCCAGCGTGTTTCCGCTCAGACCCAGCTGCTCCAGCTGGGGGGAGGCGGGAGGCGGGAGGCGGGTGGGGATGGGGACAGGCGGGGAAGGAAATAGTGGCAGGGAGGGAGGCATGGGGGAGGGGAGCGATGGGGGGAAAGGAAATAGGGTCAGGCCAAGCCAGGAGGAGAGGAGAGGCATGTGGGAGTGGGCGAAAAAAAAGGAGGTGGGAGGGGGCTGGGGAGGATACGGAAGTTGGAAGGTGGTAACATAGCATGGTATGGTAGTGCATAGCAAGTGAGGGTCATACAACCTTCCTTCAAACTTCTTTCCCTCTTCGGCTCCCCAACTTCCCAACCACCTCCACATCACTTCCACGCGCGTGCAGTCCTACCCTCTCAACCTCCCCCGATTTCCCCGCCCCGCGCGCCCGCAGTCACACGCGCGCGTACACACACGCGCGCGCACACATGCGTGCGCAACTCACGCTGGAGAGCGCGGTGATGGTGTAGGGCACGGCGTCTTGCAATTGGTTGCCGTCCAGCAGCAGCACGCGCAGCGCGCGCATGGGCGACAGGTCCGGGATCTGCCCGCTTATGGCGTTGCCCGCCAGGTCCGCCACCTGCGCGGTGGGCGGAGTTGGCGGGCGGGGGACGCGGGGTAAGGGGGGACGCGGGGCAGGGGGTCGCGCGGGGCGGCGGGACAAAAGAACGGCGGAGTCGCGGAAGGGAAGCAGAGTGATGAGGTGCAGGGCGAGCGAGCGAGTGAGTGAGGGAGGAGCATGAATGTGTGAGTGAGGCGGAAAGTAACCTGGAGAGCGGTAGACCAGTTGTTTCTCCCTTCCCCCCACTTCGAGGCGCGCCGTCTCCAGCGATCGTTTTAAGGTTGCTTGGCGCACCTGGAGCTTGCCGAGGTTGTTGATGGTGTTGGGGATGTCACCCTGCAGGTAGTTGCGCGGCACCTCGATGCTGGTGAGGTCGTTCATCTGCGCCATCTCCCCCGGCAGCTGCCCCGACAGCCCCATCTCCGGCAGCGACAGACCCACCACCCTGCCCGACGCCGCGTCGCACACTATGCCCTGGCGGGGAGCGCGCGGGGGCGGGACGGGGCGGGACGGGGAGGGACGGAGGCGGAAGGACGGGCGGAGATGGGAAGGGTTGGGGCTTTGGAAACCGAGTGCGCGACGCCTTGGCGCGATCTAAACGCGGTGCCACGGGGCGTCGGAGTTTAAGACACTGGCGTAACGGGCATATGTCTGGCTGGATGGAGTAACGGGTCTTCCCTTAGGCGGTACTAGTGAACGAAGGAGCTCACTAAGAATCATCTCAGGGTAATGATCTCGGGTGCGTACGAGGAAGGGCGGCGAGTCGCAGGGAGAGCGCGAGTTGGTCCAGGACCACAGGATGGTGCCCGGGGGGTCGAGCTCGCGCGCAATGCTCTCCCAGTCCGCGCCATGGACCGACACCGGCGCGCGGAGGGCGGCGAGACAGAGGAGCGCGGACACGGCGGCTTGCAGCATGGGATGATGGTGAGAATGGCGACGATGGTGATGATGCGCGTTGTGGCTATGGACTCCAGGTCGCCGCTGCCATTCTTGTCGCGGTGGGTTCGTTGTTCCGCCGCCGAACCTCCCGCCGCCGCCGCCGCCACCGCTGCCGGCACCGCTGCTGCTATATGCGGTCGTGGTCATATTTCTTCCAATTGCATGACACGGCGAGAGAAGGTCCTAAGTTTGCGACATGCTACTAGTCACGAGGGCGAAGGGTACTTGCGGGGAGCAGCCCAGCCGACCCAAATATGTTCGCGGAAGGCAGCAACTACGGCTAGACAGATTGGTGTAGGAAACTTTTTGATCTCACGACGCGACGCAGGAACGGATCCCTCTTAGACTTCAACGGCAGTTCTATCTGTGTTAGCTTCCATATTTTGGTTTCGATCTGCTACCCTCTCATTCCTTTTACACTTGTCCACACCCACCACTCCCCCATGTGTCTGCGCTGCTCTTGTGGTAACCCTTTTTGTTCAATCCGAGTGTGCCTTGTAAAGTTCCGTAGGTTCGGGGCGGGAGCAAGCAAGCAGGTACGGCAATTGCCCACCAAATGCCCAACCTCCATCGGAGGCGACGCAGGTGGGTGTATCTGCTCCGCCGCTGCGTTTCCAGACCAGACCTGGCAAAACTCCCAAACCTCGAATCCTAACCAAAGCCAGACCTAGGCAATCGCCGCTCCACCGAGCCGGTGCACTCGTCCCCCTGACCCGCCCACCACACGAGCCAACCAAGCCAATCATCGTGTATTGCACATCGAGACGCGTCGTCTCCAGGGGCTTTGCGCCCCTAGGCGACGCCGCTTTCACAACAAATGCCCACCAGCCTTGACACCAACCAGAGTCGTCGCCAACCTTCGCCATCGACGTGGCTGTAAAAGTGTCCCCTGAGAGATTCGCCCTCGAATTGGAGAAGCGAATGAAACGTTTTCGCGACGTAAACTGCACCGAACCGAGACGCTAGCGGCTCGTTCAACCAAGGGCGGTCCCACTATGACGGCGGCCACGAGGACAACAATAATACTCGCTACAAACGCATCTGTAAACCAGCGAGGCAACTGTACTTGGATGAAAATTTTATGGAACTAAACACAAATTTATCGAGACTATCGAGAATAAACAAGACTGAACTGCTCAAAACCCCCGAGGTACCCCTCGTTAGTATATCCCCGCCCCAGGTTCTTCCGCACGTAACGCTTCTCCCCCTTTCCCCTTGCGCCCGCTCACTCCTGTCGCCCTCCACCACTCAAGTTAGTTCGTAACGTAATCTGCGATTTTTCTCTGCAGTCTCGCTGGCGGCATACTTGGTAAAACCTTGTCGTAGTTTCCAGCTACACGTCGGCGGCTCAGTCCTCCCCCCCCTATCGCTCTCGCCTGGTGTCTCCTTCCACCGCTACTGCACACTCGCTCATTGTTAAGAATCTCATCGCCGTCCTTGCATCGTTTTAGGCCTATCCAGTTCTTCGCTTCCGCCTCTGGCCGCGATCGCGATCAGCGGCGACTGCAGGAACTTTCTGATTCGCCTTTCATTATCCAGCGGCTAACGCGGCAATCGCGCCCGGGTATTCGTAACATCAGCGCGAATGGCGCAAGCCCAGCAGGAGCCGGGGGGAGAGGGTCGGCCAGTGCCAGGCTCGCAGGGATCGCAAGGGCCGCAAGTGCCGCAAGGTCCGCAAGGGTCCTTCTCGCCGTACTCTGTACGTATGACCGATTACGTTCACTCTTCCTCGAGAACGCACTTATGCCGTAGGATCTTTTAAATGGTTCCAGATCTGACGGGTTCATTATCCCCGTTGATTTTACCTTGTCTGACTCTGGATCTTCGTTTCCCGCCTTCCGCATTTCGGCCTCGTCTCACCTCGTTTCACCTCCTTTCCCGTTCCCGTCCAGGCACTCCTCTCTTCCGAAATGCGTCCGGTCGGCGGGCGAGGGCGGAGCGGATCCGCGGGTGCTGCTACCGCCGATGGCGCAGGTCGCCGCGGTCGCGGCCGCGGAAGGGGTCGGGGGCGGGGTAGGGCACCGTGGGGGGAAGCGCACAGGCCCGCGTGGGCGGATACAGTAACCCCTGCGTGGGTAGATAATGCCACTAAATCCGTTCTTACCTCCAGTACCGTCCGATCAACCCCATCTCGCGCCACGCCACCTGCCCCGGGATCGGAAGCACCGCTCGATGCGTCGAATCGTGATGCTGATGGCGCGATCTCAGCCGCAGATCTGGACGGCGGCGGATCGGGGGGGAATCGCCCCTCCGCGGGTCCCTTACCACCAGGTAGCGGCCAAGTGACACTCAACTTACGCGCCTTTAATATTTTCGCAGCAAAGGTTCGACCCGCCGTGCAAAGGGAGAATCCGCATTTGTCGGTGAGTGAGACCGAGCGCGCGATCGGCATGCGCTGGAATGCTCTGGCGCCCTCCGCGCGCCAGGAGTACCTAAGCGCTGCCCGCGCGGGAGTGTCGGCGCTGGGCGCAAATCGCGCTGCAGCAGGGGCGGCGGCGTCGGCGGTGGCGGCAGCGGATCAGGGGGGTGAGCTGCTGGATGCGCATGCGCGGCACACGCGGCGGCGGCGCAAGCGCGCGGAGATTGAGGCGGAAATAGAAGCGGAGAACCTTATGAAGCAACAACAAATAGCCGCGCGGTACGGAATCGGCGCGGGGCTAGGCATGGGGCTAGGCGCAAGCAGAGCGCACAGTGATCCGTGGGGGGGCCGTGGGGGACCCTCCGCCGCTGATTCCTCCGCCATGTATCCCGGCGCAAGGGGGCAGGGTTTCACGGGAGCAGGCGGTTTCGCGGGGGGACTTGGGCGGGATTTAGAGCGCAGTGGCAGTGGCACGAGCAGTAGCACAGCGGATGAGGGGGAGTTTGCACCCAGCGTGAGCTTCGGCGGGCTTTTGACTGCGGCGGAGGGGGCGGAGGGGCAATCAGGAGGGTCTGTGCGGCTGGGTCAGTCAGTGCGTGGGATGGTGGACGGTGTGTTTGAGGCCGGTTTCTTTGTGGCCTTGCGCGTGGAGGGGTGCAGTGCGGTGCTGCGAGGTGTTGTGTTCACGCCAACCCCTGCTGTGCCTGTTACATCGTTGAACGATGTTGCTGCCGGTGTGCCACATGTGGGGGGGGCAACGGCAGCGGAGGGGGAAAGGGAACAACTTCAGCTCACGCTTGTTGAAGAGGCTGCTGAGCCCTCTGCACAGGAGGGAATGGCAGCTGCGGTAACATCAGAAGGTGGGGCAGCAGCATCAGAACCGCTGGCATCAGTTGCAGCGGCAGCACCGGTTGCAGAAGCAGAAGCAGAGACAGAAGCAGCAGAAACAGCAGAAGCAGCGGCGGCAGAAAATGCAGCAGCAGCAGCAGCAGCAGCCGCCGCAACAGCGGCGGCAGATGCTGACGCAGCGTCAGCGTTAGCAGGGCAGGCCATGGTGGTAGCCGGTGAAGCTGCACTGCCTGAACCAGAGAGAGAGGTTGCAGCCATGCACCACATGGTTCAGGGCATGGGGTCCGAAGTCAATGTGATGCACCATGAGGCAGCAACTCACCACACAGTTGATGTGGCAGCAGCTCATCACACGGTCGATGTAACAGCAGGTACACATGGCTATGTGGTCACCTCTGCACTGCATGGAACAGGCAATGACAGAGGCACAGCGGATCTAAACCATGCTGTAGTGGCTAACCATGGTATGCATACCATGCATGATGGTTCTGCGGCATTGGAGGGCAGTGTACCATCGCAAGACATGGTTGGGTCAATGGCTGCAGCACAAGACATGTGGCACGCGAGTCACCACCACCACACTCAGACACTGGCGAGGATGACAGCGGAAGGTGTTCCTACAGCAGCTGCTGTAGTCCATCCAGGCGCTTTCCATGTGGTTGATCACACAGGCACCAGCGCTGCTCAGTCACACTTCACCTTCGCTTCACAACAATTGGACGATCTGCTAAATGCCAGCCAGGATAGTGCCTCGCATGTGCCCATGAACCTCCAACCAGGATCCTTTTAGCTTTCTATGTTTTTCCTCACTAACTTGACACCTAGCATTGTTAGTTTGTGTTGGCAGTTTTGCCACTAGGAAAAACGTGTTGGAGCAGCTACTATCATTTTTGCAGCAAACATGAGACCTTCGAGTGAGAAGTAACATTAAATTGGTGGGTATGTTTGCATTACTCACTACCCTGAACGCCGTGCGAACATACCGGTAATTGCCTCATTTCTACTAATAATGAACAAGCGTAGTCATAACCGTCATTTACTACGGTATGAGGCTCTAGAAAGTGAGATCCTTCGGATTCTCAATGATTTGAGCCAACGTTTGCAGGAAGGCTGCCAGATCAGCACCATAGATGATCCGATGGTCAGCAGTCACATTCACCTGCAGGCATGGGGTACAAAGAAACATCAGCCTGGTGAAGGGAACCAACCAATGAACAAAATATGAAAGATGGAGCAGTCCAAGCCCAGCGAAACTAACCAATGCATCATGCAATGAAAAAACTATGTATGCAATCATGCACCATGCTTTCCGTAACCCAATGAGCGACCAGCCGCCCGCCGGTGCGGCAAACGAAACGCACCTGCATCTGCCTCCGCACAGCAAACATGCCATTGGGCAGAGCCACCACCTTGGGGCGAGAAGCGCCAACAGCCATGATGGCACCCTGCACGGCAAATACACACGCAACCAGACCAGCAGAGATTGCACACAAGATAGCTGACATTCAGAAACTTGCACCAAAAAGACTTGTAGAGATCAAAGAAAATCTGGAACTGCTGCAATGTGTCTTGGGACATGGAAAACTGGAGGCAGTACCTGGCCGGGTGGCAGAATGGCATCAAAGCGATCCACACCGTACATTCCAAGGTTGGAAAGAGTGAAGGTTCCTGGATGGAAACGCAGGGAGAAGCAAAGCATGGCAAGGGGACAAACACAATCATAGCATCCAGTTTGCAGAAATGAATAAAAGAAGCACGTAGGTAGATCTAAGAGTCGAGGACTAACAACATTTGTGCTGGTTGGAGCTTACCTAAAACATTTGTGCTGGTTGAAGCTTACCTAAAACAATTGTGCTGGTTAAAGCTTACCTAAAACATTTGTGCTGGCTGAAGCTTACCTGTTTGGTATTCCGCAGGGCTAAGTCTCTTTTCCCTGGCCTTCTGCACCAGCTCACGCCACTTATTGGACAGCGTGTAGATGTCCATCTGCAATCGCCCAGGCACACACGCAGCACAGCACATCACTCGTCTAATCATTCGGTCACAATGTGATAAGAAAGTAGCCCATGTTGGCTGGGAAACGCACGTTTATTGGCAAGCAAGAAAATCAGTGGGAGAACAGAGGGCGAGCAGGCACCCACCTTATCCGTGTCCTGCAGTACAGGAGTGATGAGCCCGCCGTCCATGGCGACGGCCACACACACGTTGATGCTGGGCGCGAACACGAAGCTGCCTCCGTCCCGGCAGCTGGCGTTCACCGTGGGGTGCTGCGCCAGAGCCATGGCCACCGCCTTGGCCAGCAGCGCCGTCATCGTCACGCCCTTGCCCTTGATCTGATCGCATTGTAAAATGATGGAAGATTGGGAATGTCAGGAGGATGAAATGAATCGACAAGTGGCGATAGGAGTTGACATGAATGGGACTGGGCTGTATTGAGGCGGCCGGAAAGTGGTTGTGAAACAGACGCGGGCTAAAGGAATACAACTATCGAGAGTGCGGGTTGAGGGGGGTCGGGGGTGTGGGGGGGGGGTGGGGGGCTGGCGGGTGGGAATGGGCTGAAAACGGAACAGGCGAAGCAGGCAACTCGAGCAGGGTGTGCGAAAGCGCGCAAGTGACTGACCTGCTTGTAGAGCGCGTCGAGGGCGTCAGTGGTGATGGTGTAGCCCACGCGGAACGTGGGCACGGCGAGGCTCGCCTCCATGTTGCGCGCCACTGCAGCCTGCATGCCACTGAACGCCACCGTGCTCCCAGGCACCACCGTCGGCCCTGCTGGTGCAGCCGCCGGCGCCGCAGCAGCAGGAGCAGCAGCGGCGGCAGGAGCGGCAACAGGGGCAGCTGCTGCTGCGGGTGCTGCGGCAGCAGCTTCAACGTCAGCCGCGACAATGCGACCCAGAGGGCCTGATCCGACAACGGTTGCCAGGTTCACCTGCCACGAAACAAGAACGTGTAAACGCACGAGCCCATCTGTAGGGCATGATAGCCCACGTTCTAGCGAACGTGTTCAATGTGCAAAAGCCAGACGCGTCGTTTGTTTCTGTTTCTTTCTTTCTTTTCCTCTTATTATTTTTCCATGAGCGGCGCACCTTGAGCTCCTTTGCCAGCTTCTTAGCATAGGGAGTGGCCACGATGCGACCGCCCGCTGCCGCTGGGTGGCTCGACACCACGGCAGCAGCAACAGCCGGAGCAGGTGCCGCCCGGGCGGCAGGGGGGGAGGGGGAGCAGCGGCAGCTTCGACAGGAGCAGGGGCAGCAGGAGCGGCAGCGGCAGGAGCAGGGGAAGTACCCTTGAGCTTCAATGCGGTAGCCTTGGCCTCTTCAACCTCTTCCTCGGATTCAGCCAGCACGGCAATGGCTGACCCCACAGGAGCCATCTGGAAGGACGAAATGGAGCACGTACAACAGTTTATATGCTGTGATGCTGTGATTCCGCAAGCAACTATGAGCGACACGTGTCGCATAACGCTTGACGAGCCGGAATGAACGGGACGATTGAGATGGGTGAGACGGATGACTGGCACAACACGGCTTCAGATGTATGGAGCCTGTACGATACCCGAAAGCAATGCTCACGGGACAGTGAATGACGAAGGCAAGCCGACGGAGGGATGAGTTGCCTCAGAGGTAGTGACAATCATGGTGTCAGCACATGGCTTCAAGCCAATCAGGAAGAAAAAGAAAATGAACATCACTGGCAACCTTTGAGACTAGGAGAGGCTAGGATGGAGTACTAAGAGACAAACACGGAATGGGAAGAGGAAGAGAGAGAGAAGAAGAAAAAAAGAGCAAGGTAGGGGGCGTGAAAAGAAGTCAGCAGACGCGTACTGAAGTTACCAGATACCCAATGCCATCAGAGGTAGTGACAATGTGTGTGTAATCACCAGTTGACATCGAAGCCATCTGAAATCGACATGTGATACATCATCGGCATTGAACGTGTTTCCAGCATTGCCTGTCCATGCGCCAAAGCGACGAAACAACACTAAGGACTCAACGACATAGCAGCTATCAGCTTACTAAACGATGTCTCGCTGGACCAAGCAAACGGTTTCCAATGACTGGAACACCGTGATATCCACTTCGCTCAATGAGATAAGAGGATACGGCGTTTGTGAACACTGACAGGCGACGTGAAATGGAGCATACCTCACCCTCGTCGACGAGGATGGCAGCAAGGATCCCATCGTAGAAGGTCTCGACATCCATGTCCGCCTTATCCGACTCCACCACCACCACGCTCTCACCCTTCGACAGCTGATCGCCTTCGCTGCAATAAGTAACACGTACCCAGGGATCAGGATCAGGACCAGGACCAGGACCACCAATGGCAGCCAACCAATCCACACACATCGAACGGAGATCAGCTTCGCAAACGTGGATGGAAACGAACCGAAAAGCACTGATAACGTTTGAATACCTCTTCGACCAGGCAACAATCTTGCCCTCGGTCATGGTCGAGCTCAGCGCCGGCATGAAAATCTCCCGCACCTTCGCGCATGGCGACACTACACGGCGGGGCTTGCTGACCGCTTTTCTGGCAGCCATAAGGCCATGGCTCCGTGAGGGTGCTGCACCACACCAGACAGGGCGTATAAGAACGAACGCGGGGCAGATGGTTCACTTGAAACGCCACAGCCAAGTGGCCGGCAAGGACTAATCGCGGAGAATAACAAGCCAGGCCACAAGCACTATTCAACGCAGACCTACAGTCACTATGCTGACAGTCACTATGCCGACTACTGCCACCACTAACAAGGTCGATAAATAAGGCCGAGCAGAAGGCACTAAGGATTCACCAGGCAGGAACGAGGTCGACAGTTCGATCTTAGCAGCAGACGACACCTGCTGTCCGCGGCACGGTGCCAGAGAGGCAGAGCAGGCCTTAACGGCAGTGCAAGCCTCCATTTTCGCGTTTGCCCTGATCTGAAGTGACTGGTTCAAGTTAGCGTAGATCCACTAGGCACCTCAGACCAGGATTGAATGCTGGGAGCCTGGGATGCGAAATGGAGGACTGATGGCTCACTGCCAGACCTAGTCCCTGTGGGTCAAATGTGAAGGGTGGAATGTCAGGGAAATGTGAAGGGCGAAACACTGGAATGGAATCCGACAGTTCAGTGACCTGACCAGTCACATCCGACGACATGCCACTCCAGGCTCTGGTGCACTGCAGGAGGTTGATCACCGCATCAGATCGAGAATGTTGGTGGTAGACCACCCACAGAGCGGTTATCCCAATGCCGTCGACTGACAGCTCAGCAAGATTGAGACCAGCCAATCGATTTTGGCACGATGACAGCCTAAACCGAATGTGAGTGGTGGGAATGTCTCGCATGCCCTGGCAACAAGTCATCGCAGGTCAGCGCGGACTCCCAGACGCCAAACGTCAATCAAGATTGCACACTCCGAATGGTGACATGGACATGTCACGTGGCAGCCTCACCTTATCCCCGATTCCCTTGGGTGCCCTTTCTGACGTGAAAGGTGCGAAATGGGCTGTGCTAACCGCTCGCGTTTTGATGGGATACCCCGCTTCGTACTTTATCGAATCGACTCGTCTATTGACAGTTTCAGTCCAGACTTCCAAACGGAACAATATCGGACTGCCCTAAACAACATAGAGACCGCAAACTCAGTCCTACAGCCATCTACGGTACGCACACCCCTAATTCAATATTTTGGCTCCACCTTCAACTCCACAGAACAAACGTTGCCGTTGGTGGTAATATTTAGTCATATTCCTTAATATTAACTTGGGAAATATATGGTCATATTTACGGTACCCACAGCTTGCTTGCCGATGCATAGGCGTTGTGTATGAAGCTCTTAATTTGCCCGAAGTCTCCTCTGTGGATGCTTTACAACTACCAGGTCCTCCAAAACTGGTTGAGGTGTTGCAGCATGGCAAACCTTATTAAAAAATGCATTGGATGTGCAACCTCATTAGTACACACTGCTAGTATAAGTCAAAAGCTGTTTCACTTGCTCAGTTACCCAATGTAAGGAGACTAAGGCTGTTTCTTCCTAGCCAACACAATGACAAGGCGCTACTATACAAACATAACGACAGAGGCTTACTGAAACCCACCCCACTCGAAGTCATCATCTTGTGCTGGCTTTGAAGCCGAAACACCACCTGCGGCTCCAGCAGCGGGAGGGGCGGACTGAAATCCAGCCCCCTGCCACGGATCTGCAGCAGCAGAAGGGCCTGAGGAAAATGCATCAAACCCAGACCACGCCGCACCGCCACCTGCAGCTGATCCAGCAAACCCACTGCCCATGCCAGCAGCAGAAGCACTCCCTCCCATCAGAGCTGCTAACGGGTCCACAGCAGAAGACACAGGAGCCGTGTGTGCACCTGCCGGAGCTGACGGTCCATCATCAAAGGAAATCAAAGAGGCCTCGAAGGAGGATTGGGAGGGCTTTGCGTATGCAGCAGAGGGAGCTGCAGTGCCAGGTGGTTTCACAGGTGGAGGCGCGAGCCCTGATACTGGTGCTGCAGCAGGAGCAGGGGCTGCAGCAGAGATGGAGAATTTCTTCACAGGAACTGCAGCAGGCTTTCGTGCTTGCGCATCCTCCATGTGCCCTCCTTTACCTCCGCTAGCACCACCAAAGTCATCACCATCGTCTTTCCAGTCGTCCCAGTCACCAAAGCCCTCACCGCCCTGGAGAGCACTGTCATCAAACTTGCCAAACCCTTTGCTCCCACCACCACCACCACCACTAATACCTCCACTCGTCTTCCTTTCTTGAGTGGACTCAGACGCACCATACCCATTGCTGCTTGCACTGTAGGTGTACACATCGGCACTATATCCATCCGCATTATATCCACCGCTGCCCCCTCCACCCCCTCGTCCACCACCACCACCACCAGCACTGTCACTCCCATCACTACCATATGTGTACGGTTTACCAATACCGCCACCACCGCCCCTGCCACCACCACCAGCACCCCTGCTGCCCATTCCCCCAAACCCTCCACCACCGCCAATCCCTGGGCCACCAAGGCCCCCGCCTATCCCGCCCTCCACAGCCTCCACGGCCTTCTCAGTGACGGAGCGCATGAAGCCCCACGCCTTCTGGCCTAACTCTGCCGTGCGGCTTGCCACCACCGTGGCCGTCTCCTTGGCCTTCTGGTCGTACCCCCCCTCGCGCATCTGATAACGCACATGGGCGGAGGCGGTGGAGGATCGGATGATTGGGCAGAGGGGTGCGTGGGGTTGTAGGGTAGGTTGTGCAGGGGGGATGTGGTTGAACAACTTGGTGGAATTGGATTGGCTGGGTGCTTGCTTACCTCGATGGGAGCACTTGGGCACCGAGGGTCTACTATATTGTACACGCACACGTGACTGGAGCTCTATTAAAACCTTCACAACACAGTGATCACATCGTTTGTGTGCACTTCCTGAAAGCCCCACTCCTTTCCCCCCCCTCCCCCTCTCCCCACCACCCTACTAGCAACACTGCACCGCACCTTTTCTTGCACCACGGCCGCTGCCGAGCTGGCTGCGCCAATGGCAACCATGGAGATGGAACGGAACCCCTGCCAGGGTGATGAGCGGGCGGGACACACAGGGGGTTCGGAAGTGGGCGCAGTGCGCACGGAGGAGCAATTGAGAGACGAGCTGGTGGCGGAACAAGGAGGTGCAAAGCGGAAGAAGGGTGCGTGGGTGCGAAAAAGGTTGCGGCGAAACACCTAAGTTACAGTCACCGGTGTGGTTTTGCTATCTCTGAGCATGTTTTTTCTTGCAATCGTTGCCATTTGTTCTGACGGCACCACTGACCGATTTCGTTGCGCCCTCTCCACCGCTGACTCACACTCCCGCAGGCCAGCTTGAGCAGGCAGTGGGCGGTCAGATGGATTCGATCTCAGATTTGCTTGCAATGTTCGTGCGTTTGACTGAGTAGCAACTCGACGCCAAAACCACTGTTATGTTAACACGCTGCTCACTTCCATGCCCTCGCTGTTCTCACGTGACTGCAGCATGCCCTAGTCTTGCACGGCATGTGGCACATGCAGCCTCATGCCATCCCATCCCGCCCCATGTCGGCCGTACCGCCCCATGCTGGCCCACGCCGCCCCAATCACGCACATCCACACCTCCTCACAATCCCAACACTCCCAGTCCCCACAATCGCTCAATATCTCATACCTGCTACTTGGAATTTAATTCTCCATGATTTTCTACACTCCCGACACGCTTGGATTGCAACCCCACCGTTGAATTCTTTCCATGGTGAAAATCGATCTAGCCACTCCGCCACGCTCGACCGTCCCCCAGCTACCACTCACCTCCGATACCGCCTTGATCGAGTCCTCCAGCACGTCGTCTCCCGCGCTCGGCTTTTGACTCGCCTCAAGAATCGCTTACAATCAGTTCCCGCCACCCCCACACCTCCCCTATCTATCACTCACCTCCGACACCGCCTTAATTGAGTCCTCCAGCACGTCGTCTCCCGCGCTCGGCTTGCTCGGCGCGCGGCTCGGCGTGCTGCCGAACCCCACGTACTTGCCGCCCTGGCTCGGCGGAACGCCCTCAGGTCGCCGCGAGTTCTCCGCCAGCTTGCGCGCAAAGAAGTTGTCCTTATCCGCCGCCGATGCCTCCAGCTGCTCTTTGGAATACATATCTGACGCTGACCCTGTATGCTGCCCCATCGCTCCTCCCCGCTTACTCCCCCCTCCGCCTCCGCCGCCGGGCCTGGTCTCCCCGCCTCTTCCGCCTTCCCACTGCGCCCCTGCGCCGGCCCCCGCGGCAGATCCATACATGCTATTATCCGATTGGTGCCTGCGCATGTTCCCCTGGGCCGCCGCCGTCGCGTGCGTGTTCGCGGGACTAGAGTGCGCGGATCCGGCTCCGCCGCTCCCGCCATCCCCCCAGTTTGCCCAGCTGTCGTCTGATCCGAACCCGCCTGCTGACGACGCCCCCCCAGCTCCAGCAGAAGCAGCAGCGGGAGGGGGAGCGCGAGCGGGTGGTGCGCCTGCGATGTTCGCATTAGGCGGCGGGCCTGTTCCCTCCGCCGCCGCCTGGATCTTCCCGCGATACGCTTCGGCGACGGGCGAGCTGTACTTAATCGAGATGTCGGTGTCTTTAGGCACGCCGTTCTGCGCGAAGAAATAGTTACACGCGTCGTTACCGCCGACCTCCATTTTCCGCAACTGGATCTCGGACCAGGAATCCATGGTGACGGATCGCACGAAGCTCAGGTGAACTCCCAGCCCGCGGTGCCGACCGGAGCACTCGAGGCACATGAAGATGCCGTAGGAGACGGAGGCCCATTGCGGGTTGCGCTGGCTGCAGTCCACGCAGACCTTGTTGCCTGGTTGCGACGTCAGGACTCGTAGCCTCGCGGCTGCTGCGGCGGACACCATGCTGTCTAGCGACAATGAAGGCGATTGGCCGTTGCGTGTATGCCTGAGCTAACTTTCTCGTGAGACGGATACTACAGGGAAGCGAGAAAAACTGGCCGGGATGCAGGAAGTTGTTGAGGTGGAGAGAAGAGGAGTGGGGGAGTGGTTGGTTCCGCGTTCGGTGGCCTTGGGAATTGCTTGCTCTGGTTGGTGACAGTGCGATGCGACAACCTCGATGCTGTTGTTCCGTCAGCAGCAAATTTGCGTGAAATCCACGCACACCACCAACCCACACGCACACCAAACCACCCGACCAAACGCTACAGTACACAAGAAATGAATCTCGTTGTAGGCACATCGCACTTCGCTTAGTCACGTCAGCCAAGAGTGGCACGCACGCTGTCCCCCAGCCGATCGGGATTCGGAAACCGCACCTGCGCTGCGATTCGCCCATTCAGCTCAGCTCAGTTCGCGCCAAACAGAATACACCGCTAGTAGCCTCCTCCTCTCCTATATCGCAATGACGGAAATGCACACCACCACTCCACGCCCATTCAGACCAATGAGGGCGCGCATCAATCCATTTGATTTGCATACTGGAATAATACCATTCCATGGTGCTCTTTGACATGAAAACCTTTGTCACCTCTGTAGCAGTGGCTACACTGCTGAAAAATTCACTCTTGAAATATCTACGGTGCTGCGATCAACTGTTGATCGTGGCCTAGGATCTACTCAGGAAGGTTCGCACGCAGTACGGTAGTGTTGGTGGGCCCTTGACCTCAATAGCAGAGTGAATGTAAGATGCTTGAGATAAATGAAACATGCAAGTACAAGAAATATAAATATGAGTACAGGGGAATACGAAACGACCTAACTAGCCATGTACTCTAAGGGGTACATTCCCTTATTCAAATTCATTCCCAACCGTGCGGCGCGTACAGTTTCGTAACTGTTCCCGCCAAAACCATCCTGCCTGAAGCTGCCCGATGCCGTCTGCTCCGACGGTCCAGATGTGCTGTAACCGTCTGACTCTTCGGTTCAATTCCAACCGTCCGACGTTTCGCGTTCGTTCCCGATATTGCGTGCTTCTCTTTGCTGCGGTGAGGAGTGCACAGTAATATCGGATTTAGAAAGCTTGCTTTCTAATAATTATCATTTGGCATCGTTCTCATTTCAACTGGCAAATTACAACATGCACCTCGAGCTAGACAATATAAGCGCTAGTACATGTCCTGATACTTCCTATCAATCATTCGTCAAGCTATCAATCCTAATAGGTGTGCGCTAACCCACATTGTACCACTTGTGTCCTCCTGTATAAGCGGCGGCCTTGATGTCCATCGGTGTTGGGCGGGGGGTGGGAGAGTTGCATGAGCCGTTTGAAAAATGAGAGACGTGGGTGGAGGGAAATGAACTCCAACCCACGATTTGTAGTTGGAGATGGGCGTTTAGCGCGCTTCGACGATGCCAAATTCCCGTTACAGTCAGCTGCGCTTTCGAAATACGTAATTTTAAAAAACACTATGTGTGTTTAAAAATTATCATATTTAGAAAGCTTGCTTTCTAATAATTATCATTTGGCATCGTTCTCATTTCAACTGGGGTCTCTGAGACATGGGCAGCGGGGGTTTTCGATGACGGACGAGTGCCTCTGCGTGCTGTGCTGAAGAAGGGGCGTAGGCCAGATCTTGCAGCTGGCGGGAGGCGCTGATGAGATGTTCGGCGTTGGGCGTGACGTACATCTCCTTCGCTGTATCGCTGCGCCATCTGCCCAGTCGTTTGAAGATTCTGTCCGGCACGCCGGTGTTCGCCGCAGCAGTGGCTGCTCCTTTGCGAAAGGAGTGAGTGCCCAGCTGCTGTTCCCCTAGTCCGATCTTCCCAAAGGCTTCTTTGCACCAGTTCCGGATCGTCGGGTAGGACGGCGACCTTGCTTGGCCTTGTAGTGAGCCACGTCCAAAGATGCGAATCAGCGGCCCTGCGGACTGTCGGTCGTATCCCGCGAGTTGGATGAGCCGTCGGGTGCAGCGGACAGGGCAGAAGGGATCATGAGTTGCGGCGATGGGTATCCATGTGCCCCTTCCAGCTTGGTCCGTCTTGGAGTACGGGATTAGGATCCACATGACCTCACTGTCGAACTGGATGTCTTGCCACTCGATGGCAATGAGGTCCGAGTATCTTAGGAATCCAGTGTACATGAGGATAGGGATTAGCCCCTTTTGGAACTCCCCGGGGTTGTCGGACTGCAGGTAGCTCGCAGACATGTCGTGGACCTGTTGCAGCGAGACAGGCTCCTTCACTCGTGTGGGGCGAGGACAGTGTCGTTTCGCGAAGTCGCGTACTTGAGTGGTGAATGGGCCGGTCGTTGGGCATGTGCTCCCAGTCATGCGGTGTGCAAAGCTCACCGCTGAGCATGTAAGTTGTACCATGGGCAGTGTGGCTCTGTGTTGGATAGCGTACACCAGGTACAGCGCGAGGGTCATGTCCGACGTGGGAAGGAATGGGAGGTTGACCTTTGCACAAAATGCTCGAAACTTGACCCAGTATGGCTCGTATGTTCGGATCGTTGAATCGGCCCGAGACTGTGAGAGCATCTTTAATAGTTGGACTTGTAGCTTCGGTAATACGTCTGCGCGAAGGCGTGCAGGTTGGGTTAGTCGAAGACCACTCGTAGTGCAATGATTGTGCTATGAGGCAGTCCTATGCCTGAAAAGGCAGTGCGGTGCGTTCCTACTGCTAGGCATTGGCTGCCGTGCGTTATGGGAATGTGCGCTCGGACGTGCGGGGCCCAGCTAGGTGGGGAGGGTTGTAGCAGTGGCCACCAGTTTGCCCCCGTCCAGTGGGGGACGATTAGGGTGAATGATGCATTGGTGCGTTGTGCGTGGCGGATGACTGCCGGGATCAGTTGGGGTGGTGGGAACGCGAAGCCATTCTCGTTTGTCCACGAGCATGAAAATGCATCAACCACGGTAGCCTTGGGGTGTGGGATCTTCGAACAGAATCGTGGTAGCTGCGTGTTGTGATGGTTGGCGAAGAGGTCGATTGAATGCGGTCCCCAACGGCGATCAAGGATCCGGAACCATGGTTGCTTCAAAGAGTAATCATCCTGGTCGATCAGCTTTGACAGCTCGTCAGCATGGGAGTTAAGCTCTCGCGGGATCCATTCGACGATTAGTCGAGTGCCGAGCTTCATGCAGATACGGATAATGTCCTTGCAGGCGGTGGTCAGGTCGGGGGTGCGGGAACCGCCTTTGCGAAGGATGAAGAAGACCCCTTGGTTGTCCACCCTTACGAGCACGTGTTTTTGTTGGACCTTGTTCGCATACGTTCGGATGGCCCAAAGGACACCCTCGATTTCTCGTCGGGTGCTGGACGTTGCTTGCAGTGGTGCTGGCATGGCTGCACTGGCTTCTTCAAGTTCGCCAGGGAAGGTGAGCAAAGTGGCACCCCAACTGTGGGAACTGGCGTCCACGTGGATTACAGCGTCGTAGCTATTCCGGACGTGGAATGGTGCGCCATTAAATTTGTCAAACTCCTCGAGCCAGAATTGCAACTCCTCCGCCACAGGTGGGGAAATGCTCACACTGCTTCCCCAGGACGGCGCGTCGTTGATCGTTTGTAGCATGGCGTGGCTGAACGCGCGAGTCGTAGCACCTAGCGCGACAGCCATTGACGCGAGCGTGCCCGTGATTCTGGCGAGGTGGCGGACTGGAACCTGTCGACGTGCTTTGCTTGCGCTCAATAGATTCTGAATGTGTGCATGAAGTGATGCTCGTCGATCGGTGCCAATAGAGAATTGTCCCAAGTTGGTATCCAGCTCGACGCCCAAGAATCGCAGCTGTTGTGACGGGGACAACTGTGATTTTTTCGCGTTGATCACCAAACCTGCCATCTTGAGGTCCGAGATTATCATCTGGCATGTTGCCTGTGCATGTGCCTTGGACGTGCATAAGAACAAGATGTCGTCCACGTAGGGAACAACTCGAATGCCTTGTTCGCGCCAGCGCCTGGCTAATTGTTTGATGAGTTGTGTGAAGACAAACGGTGCTGTTGCGAGGCCGAAGGGCAGTGAGCGAAAGGAGTACGTGCGCCCCTCAAATTCGAAGCCGAGGAATTTCCAGCAAGAGTGGTGTATGTCGACATGATGGTATCCGGATTTTAGGTCGATGGAGAACATCCAGTCTCCTATGCGCGCCAAGTCGGCGACGCGGCTCAATCCCTCGTATTTGAATTTCGGAATGATCAGGTGCTCGTTCACTTTCCGAAGGTCGAGAATAAGCCTGCATTTGTCACGTTGCTCGACCACGTTGAGAGGGCTGATGCATGTAAGCTCCGCTGCCGGGGTAACGACCGCCGCTCCGGTCTCCGTCAGTTCGCGAATTGCCGTGCGCGTGAATGCCGCGTGTGTGTGTGCGCCGAGATGGTTGCGTTCGTGAAACGGTTGTGGAGGGTTGTGTCTCCATGGTAGCCAGTAGCCATTGGCGATGACCGAGAGGATGAGGCTACTTGGGCACCACGAGCTCCACCATACAAGGGTTGCGCGAAGCCTCCCGCGCATTCGCGTGACGGTCTTGTCTGTGACGGCGAATTCGTACGGATCATCGTCGTCTAACATCTCCTCGCTTGTTGCCTCTGCATGTTTGCGGAGTGACAATGGGGCAGGATTGCAAATTGAGGTTCTTATGGATATGATACACATCCTTCGTGTGTGAAGGGTAGGTGCATTCGATGGGTGTATGCGCATTGACCCATTCGAATAATCATTTGTCGGCAATTACATCCGCATTGTACGCCCTCGTTGTTGTTGTTTTTTTTTTTTGGCATCCCTCAACCAAAGAGCGGGTGTGAGTCTTCCCGCACGGTCATGTGATCACGAGTTTTTTTTTTTTTTTTTTTCATGC